TTTCATGAATTTAAAGCCTAGATATATTTCTTACCCATCTCTGACTCTGGACCCTTTCCTTACCCCACCGCATTCATCACACTGGTCCATAATCACTATGGAGGCTATAGGGGTTCCAGAAACCCCACCTCGAGGCTTCGGGGTGAATAATGAATAAAAGATCTGTAAGCAGGTTAGACTGAACCTTCTGTATTGAAGAAGCATAAAATCCTGTTTGCTCAGGGAGGTGGGACTAGTTTTGCCAGTTCCTTGAGTGCATGCAGCCAGTGGTGCTTGCAGCTATAGCGTAAGTAAAAGAAAGAGGAAAAAGAAACACAGCTTGGGGCTGCCCTAGCAGGAGAGAAATGATGGCAGTGTTCCTGCTTGCTTGTGCCCTCCGGCCATAGCTACACCAAGGTGCAAGCTGGGTTTTCCCTCGGTGGCAGCTCTGGTCCTATTCTGTGGCTGGCCATCAATCTGGAGCAGGGGGAGTGAAAGCAAACACGGAAAAGGTCTGTGTGTTCCCAAAACGGGCCTTGAGCTGAAGCACAAGATGCTGATATAAAACTGCGGGTAATTATTAGAAAGCAGCGCAGGGGGGGCACGGCGACGTGCACAGCGGGTCTCCTGCGGTACCTACCTGCTGAAAACGGAGATTGCAGCTGCAGTGGAGCTGCAAGTGGGTCAGTGGCAAAAGCGACTCTCCTGGTTACTGTGCCGAGAGGCACTCTTTTCTGTAAGCCTCTTCTGAAAGGCTCTTGGGGTCAGAGGCTGCTCTTACTGCTCATGTCCGCTCAGATCTGAGAAATAGCTAAAACTGTAGAGGGGAGTTAAAACTAAAAATCCACTCGAATTTAACCCTCAAACAGGTGTCTCTTGTACGTGCACCACAAAGGATATGCGTCGGAACTAAGCAGAAAAATAATTCCCACCTTCAGTATCTGTAGGAGCTTTGGGAGAGCATGCTAAAAGCAAGCTCAAGGACAATAAAAACATGAAGCTCCCCTGTTGCAGATATTGAAGTTGTTTGCCTACTTCTCATGGGATGGTGGTGTGTCTGGGTCTGCCAAGAAGTCTGGGTAGGGCTGGGGGGCTGGTGGAAGTCTAGCAGAATTTATGTTACTGGCAATGAACAGACCTGAAAGCCTGGGTTGGACTTTTAAACATATTTGCCATCCTCAGGCAAAATCTTGGTTGCCAAAACAGAGTGCATCTAACCTTTTTCTTTAGGGTTTGCAAATTGAGGTTTTGTCTTACTATAGAAAAACGATTGGTTTGAATAAGATCACAAGCAGGATGGTAGAAGGAGTTATTTCTTACAGTTGTGAGTAACTCAAGAAAAAAAAAAAAAACTGCCAGTGCCAAACAGAACTGGTGTGTTTCCCCACTGGTGGGAAGAAGAGCTGTAACCCCACTGGCAGCAAAAGGTGTGACTGCCCTGAACACCCTGTTATCCCAGGACAACTCCACATACAACTTTCCTCAAACTCTTTTCCAACCGCTTCCAACCAACAGAAGCTTCTGCAGGAACACAAAACTGGGGCTGTGATTGACCTTTACAGCTTGTCTAGGATTTTCCTTGGGTAGAATTATCTTACCAACTTTTACTCCACTGCTGCCTGTTCTACCCAGGAGAGAGGGGACAAGCTACCTGTTACAGCTTTATCCTCTTCTTCTGTTCATAATTGCCTTTTTTTGCTCCCAGGTTTTTTGGAGTACTTTACTTCTAAAGCACTTAGAGAATAAAATTTTGCTTAACAAAACTAGTGTGCAGAAGAGGACTTTAAAAATACTTAAGGATTGGGTATGAAGTGAAGACAGTTCACTTCTGTAATTTCTCACTACCTGTCACTAGTAAAACAGAAGAATAATTAGTTTGGAAAAGACTTAACGAAATTAATTATGTTTTGCTGCAGTGTGATTTAAATAAGAAATCTAAACCAGTCATTACTCAGAAAACACTAATTGTTACCTCTCTTAAGATACTGAAGAGAGAATTAAGGCATTTTGGTGGCCATGCAGTTGTGAACTCCATGTGCATCTGAAAGGTTGTCTGGCTTTTTTAATTAATGTGCAAATAAAACTAACTGCAAAGAGTTTTTGAATATCAATTATTTACTGAGGCAGGTCTGAAGCAGGTTCTTTCCTTATGATTTTTTTTTTTTCTTTTTTTGTCTGCCAAAAGAGGAGGGCATTTCTATAGAAAGTATGAAGAAATTAGCAATTTCAAAACATAATGAGGAGCATTACATGCTTCATTTTAAAGACATTTCACACTATGGCCAAATAATAAGAACAATAAAATACTGCCAGCTGAAACAAGTCATCTGGGGTTCTTAATGTATAAGAAAATTAAAGACTGTTAATGCATGGAGCTTATCCCTGAATAAGGGAGTGAAATTAAGTTATTTCAGTGATATGAGGGGGAAAAAATTTTCAGTAGCATCATCTGAATTGACTTGTGGACTGCTCTGGGAAAATATTGGGTATTTCCTGTACCACAGACAATTTTTTTAAAGCCAGTGTTCATTTTGCAACCATGTATTACAGCCAAAAGTGTGTATTTAGTTTCAAGCGTGGTCTTAATCCTGCAAGCATACACATACATACTGGAAAATAAAAATAAACTCATTGAATTTACTAGGACTCCTTCATGCTGAAAATTGGGATGGACTTGTTTGCCAACTCATATGTTCTTTCATTTACCTGCCTGCTGTGCAAGATCAGCTAGAGAAAGCTCCATGTGATAAAAACAACAACTCCAACTTCCAGGTGTGTTCCATGGTGTTGCCTTAGAAGAATTTCTTTAGGCAGCAATCCAGATTGATTTGGTTAGATTTGTTTGGTGTTAAACCTACATAGCTAGTTCGTAACAGTGCCCACAGGAGAAAGGAGGGTTTTTGTGATGTGGTGTTGATAGTCTGGTCTTTGATTCCTTCTGCCTCTCCCGTACTAGTCAGACGAGCTGCACTGCCTCATTTTTCTGGGCATTTGGTCCCAAGAGAAGACTTGTGTCAAAGTACTTGGTTAAAATGGCATCATTAGTCTCCTATATACTTTGATGTGATTTATTGCTAGGGGAGGATTGTTGCTTCTGCTGCCTCATCCTCTGGCCCTTCTTCTTCAGGTTGGCACCTACTTTTGGTCCTCTTTCTAAGCAGAACGCTAGCTGCTGTACGATGCTTCGAGTCTTTATACAACGGAAGTTTTCTCATGATGAAAACCTATATGGTGATGAGGATGGCTAAGGCTTGTCATGATGGAATTTGTTTCCTCGTGGAGGAGGTGTGTGTAACTGACTTAAGCCTTGGAAGTCTTTCACCCAGAAGTCTGCTTATTGAAGTATCTCACGGTTAGGTGTGTGTGTGCAGGAGAATGCGGGTGTTACCTGCACACACCACAGCCCAAACTGGTGACACTAACTGTGGGGTGTCTGGTCCAGTTCCACAGGCTGGGAATAACACCTTACCTGCCTTCCTGCTGTGTTCAGCATGAGTTTAATTTCACTAAGTGCTGCTCCTGGGTACCTCTGTCCTTTCACTTCACTGGTGAAGATGCGCAGTACAAGAATCCATGCAGTAACATGCCATTCTTGTTACACCTTAAACTCATCTGTGCTTCCGAAATACCTGATAAGTTCTTTCCTGAGGCTTGCTTCAAAAAAAAACCCCACTCTCTCCCCTTTTCGTTGTTTTGTGTCATGTTTACAAAATGTGACATTTCTGTCTAAATAGTTTGCCAAAGGCCTGTTACAAACAATATGAAGTTGTCAGTCATGAGACATTAAAGAAGTGAATTGTCTTTACTTCATACTCAATTCTAAGATATTTTTTAAGGTCAGAGCTTTTGACTCAGTGATTGTCATTGGCTCCATTTTTGGGGTATCCAAACTTTCAGAAAGTACTGTGTTCCCTTTCTGCAAATGTTAGTCCTTAAACACATTTCAAAAATATACACAATTTTGTCGTGATTGGTCAATGCTCTGGAATTTCTGACTGCAATGCATTTCTGCCATTTTTGCTGTTTTCACACATTCATACTTTCTAAAATTGTTTTCAGATGACATTCTGCCTGGCAGAAACATGTTAAGGATATTTCTCTCCATTTTCTTTATGATTTCTGAGTGATGTGTTTGGGTTTGTGTTTAATTCTGGTTTGCTCTTTCTGGATAACTTTTAAAAGCTATCCTAGTTAAAATCTTATGTTTGAAAATGGAAAAAAAATAAAAAAGGTAAGATAACCATAACAATTTCCTGCATATAACCCATCTATTTCTCAGTGCTGTTTATCAGGAAAATAGCTGCTGCATTTAATAGAACTCTTATCTCTTTAGTCCCAGTTGAAACTCACCTTGTCAAATCAATGGAACAGTCTTCCTTCCACCAAATGCAAGACCACTATAGCTTATGCTTCTAATGATTATTTTTATTTTCAGAATAATTATTTCTTTCAGAAAATGGCATGTAGTGTCAGCATGCTTGATTAAATGTCCAAGAACAGAGATTAAATTAGCAGAGTCAAGAGAGATGTGGCAAATGGTGACATGCATGTCTGGATTTTGGTGAATACTAGTGAAAGCTCAGCTTGGTGTGGATCCTGCAGGAGCAGAAGAGCGACAGTGTTGTAAAAAATCACATTTGTAAAAGGCTTCTTTTGATTTTTTTTTTCTTTTATCTCCTTACCCTTCTATCAAGTAGCTTCTTGATGCAGAACCTAGAAATGCATCCCAGTGTGATGGGCTGTCCTTCAGGACATCTTTTGCAACACTGGGTCTTCACCCTTCCCAAGGGATTAATGTGTAGTCTACAGCTACCGTGATGCCAAATTTCTGGACAAATCTGCTCACATGTTTAGCCATTAAATTCTCCCAGTGAGACTAAAACTTTACAGAAGGTGATGATTTGTACAATAGCAAAAAAAATCATGGGAAAAAAAAATAAAGCAAAGAGTGGACAATAATGCTCTAGGTTTTTCAGATGAAGAAGCAATTCATCTGAGTGGCATTGTGTTTTTTTAAAAAGCCAGCCCCATTTGCTCTCCTAATAGTATCTACCATGTTTTCTGTAGGCCCAGCTGCCCAGCGCCAGGTCCAGAATGGGCCATCTCCAGATGAGATGGAAGCACAGAGAAGGTAAGTGGAGTTCTAGTTTGAAACCTGGATATGAAGTACTTGCTTACCACTAAGCACTGTTCTTTTTACTTGTACCTGATTTAAGCTGATTCTGAGTTTTCTGTAATTATTGTTAATGATTCTGTAATGACTTTTTAAAGGGTGAAGTGAACTGAAACCCTAGGTAAACTTTTTTACTCAATGGCAAGTGTTGAGGCATGCTGATTTTTAAAGACAAAACATGTTTTAAAGTAATTTGTTGTGTATATGTTTCTCAAGCACATTAAGAAAGCTTAACCCTTCAGGCTTGATGGGGCTCTGAGCAACCTGATCTAGCTGGGGATGTCCCTGCTTACTGCAGGGGGATTGGACTAGATGACCTTTTGAGGTCCTTTCCAACTCAAAGCATTCTATGATTCTCATCCTGTTCTGGGTCTCCTGCTGGCAACTGACAGTCATAGTGCCTAGGGAGCTTCTGATGGACCATGTACACCCTCAATAACAGCTTACGGCCATTTTGCACGTGGCTACTTCCTATATCATGTGGCATTCCTTTTATGAATGAATTGCTCTAAACCAGGATAATAAATGAAAGTGAAAAGTCATGCCCTTCGCCTTTACATGAATAACTAGACAGTGTCATTATTATGAGGGCCATTATCATGGCTTTTTCCCTAGCTGCTAGGAGTGGTCTCCTTGTCATGAAAGGGAAGGTAGGCAGGAATGTCTGTCCTTGTATGCCCGTCTTCATAATCAAAATATGAGGCCCAACTCATTTTAGCTTTGCTGATCCAGCCCAGATTCCTGTGGCAGCAGTATCTTCAGCTTCCTTCACCATTTTGGACAAAGTCTTGTAGCCTGACCAATAGATGGTGCATGCTGTCAGAGATGTGACCTGTGTGCTCAGCATTGGTTGTGTCCACTCTACCAGCACTGCGTAGCCAGGCTTGTGCTTCCCCGTTGAAGTGTAGGATTGTGCATGCAAAAAAAAGCACTTTGTTCCCCATATTCCTGTTCACTTCAAGATCAGCAAGTGCAGTTAGCCCTCCAGAGGACTTGGCCCATTGTTTGGTTCAGCTAATAAATAGCTTTGTAAGGATTTTAGGGGAACCAGACCTGCAGGGGTGGTTCATCACCAAACATGTTGGATAGCAGGCACTCAGTGGGCTTGACCTTCGTTTATAGGTGCAACCTGAAAGCAAGCAAAGCCTTTGCTTGCAGGCTTCAGGGACTGCCCTGGTCATGTGTAGCTTCATATCACATGCTCCTGGAGCAGTGGAGATCAGTGTTGTGGAGTATTGTTTGCACTGATGCTGCAGGGCTGCTGTTCTGACTCGTCCCCATACAAAATCACCTACAGGTCATTTACGACAAGGCTTTTGCACAGGCTGTGGCAAGTACTTTGGGATTCTTGCTTTCCCCCTCCAAAAACTGTAAGGAAATTACAGGGAAACTGGTTCTCTGAGCCTTTATGAATAACTGAGATTTAGTAGGGATTTCAGTGTGACCATTAAATGGGTCAGCGGGTAATGATGCTTCACTCAAGATTTGTAGGATTTACTTTGGGAGAGCAGAGCTATCATAAAGGTCAGAGGAGGGCTTGTGGTCACCCAGAGGCAGGGGGGTGCCTCCTGTCCCCAATGCCCAGCTGAAAGGCCTGAACCAGCTCTTCATGTAACCAGTGCAAATCATTGATTTTTCACACCATGTGTAACTCAGACCTCAAATTTAAATGTCTAGTCTGTACATTTAAAGTGTGACCAGCTTAACTGTGTTAGAAAAACACATTTTTTTATTTCTTGCTTTTTTGTTTAGAGATGGTAGAAGCCTTTTGGGTAGGTATTATTCAACTGCCAGAGGGCACGTGGTTCCAGAGAAGCTTCTTTTGCTCCACTAGGCTGGAATAAGCTATGGCAGTAGATGCACTTAGATACTACTGCATTTGCACTAGAGGATTTTCAGCTTTAATTGTGCTTTAAGCACAAAGCAGACCTAATTTTATGCCTAGCTTTTTTTTAAACATCAGATAAGCAGGCAAGGAAATGAAGTTATGGTAACTACCCTGCAAATGTGTCTGTTTAAAAGGTTCTTTACAGAAACAAATGTTAAAAGAATATTTTTTTAAGTCAGAGTGTAATTTATCCCATCTTTTACTTTACTTCTTGCATACTCCTTAAGCAGTCTTGTGCCAGTCTCAGGCTTTATTTAGTTCCACTGGAATATATTTGACTTCCTAAGAGTGTAATAGCTTCTCCTTTTAGCATGAGTGGGAGGGTGCACTTGGCCCATATAAACTGCAAAAGCCCAAGGGCAGACAGGGCTGGCATGAACTCCAAGGACTTCAAACGGCAGTGGCTGACCCTTGCTTTGGGGAATGCCTACACCTGTACCTGCTCTGCAGCTGCTCCAACAACTTGGAAACTTCTTACCTGTATTTATTTCCTGGTGTGTCAGGCTGGAGTTCTGTGTCAATACATGTGTCAAGCTGTTCTTCATCATCAAATTTTTGTAATAAATGCCAAGCTATTGAGAGGATGGTGTGCTTAAGAAATTCTTAGGACAAGTGTTTACAATTGAAATTTTAGCAGTGCTAAATTGGTGCTGTTGTATATGTGTCCATCTCATAACTTTCAAATAAGAGTCAGTGTGTCTGTATTGAAGAAAGGATTTCTATTAATTTGGTTTAAATTGTCACAGCTTAAATGAAACTAGTTAAATCAGCCAACTCAGACTGTTTCTCAAAACTGTTTCCCCTTTGCATATATAATAACTTTGTCAGATGTCTATAATAGTGTTCCAGAAATTGCCTGTGTTGGATGGATTGTTTTGAAAATAAAACCAGTTTAGAATTGATCCCTCCACAGTTTTCCTTTCCCATCTATTGAATTAGAATTGATATAAGGGAAATTTGTTTTGAAAACTAAGACATTATTTTTTTTCCTACATAGTGTAACTTATTTCTTCTGGACTTTTTTTTCTTAAAAAAGTTTCTATTACTATATAAATAAGAGAGAAGTATTTAAAATTGCAGCCTCAGGAATATACAAGTAAAAATGTAGCAGGGAGATCACTAAAATATTGCTTAAGGAGTCAAAATAGTAGGGTTGCTTAAAGTTCATCTTGCCTTACTGTACAGACCATGAGCTAAAGCTGTTGCATAAAAAAGAAATCTCTATGCAATTACAACTGGCCCAAACATACGTGGAACAAATTCAAGGCAAACTTGTACTAGAAACCATGGAAGAAAATTATTAATAAATCTTATTACCAAGTGCTTCAGTAAGGTAATTTCAGAGTTGTGCTTTAGTATTTTTGAAATCTTCAGGCCATATCTATACACATGGCAAAAAGCCTGGCAAATATTCTATTTTTTAGCTACCCATCTTTTTAAGAAGGGAAACGTCAGGGTGGATTTGTGCAGGGGTCAGTGACAGCTCCTTCTGCAAAGTCCTGAAGTGTGCGAGAGAAGACCTCTGCTGATAGACCTTGGGAACTGCACATCTCTGGAAAATAGGCCCTGGAAGGAAGCTTGGCGGTGCATGTCCCTAAGGAACACCAGGCCTGGGTAGCATGGGAGCTAGCAGCTCCTGGGGGGACAGGTGCCAAAAGGGCAGCAATGTAATATTGTGATGAGTATTTGTGGAGGAAAGGCAGTGGCCGTGGTCCCCGAGGCCACGTGGGCCAGCACAGGATGCGAGGTGGCAGCCCGCCAGCCAGGCTGCCCAGGGCTAACAGAGGGCTTGCTTGTGCAGCTGCATGAAATGGGATTTTTGAGGATCTGCGCCCATCTTAAATGGATCAAGCAACCCCTGCAGTGTCTGGCAGGTGCAGGGCAATGTCCTGGTTTCACACTTCCTCAGCGTTTGCAGTGGCACTGCCAGGGCAAGTGAAACCAAACCCACCTCCATCTCATGGGGTTAGCTCTACTGTGAGAACTGGCTCATACCACCCAGGGCGTACAGCTTGAGTGCTTCTCCATGTATAAAGCTTTTATTCAAAATTATAAAAATATCTAATGACCAAGGGTTCTTTCATTGCTGTTTTAGACAAGTGATGGAGCAACAGCAACAACGCCAGGAATCTCTGGAAAGAAGAACCTCTACCACAGGCACGTATCAAACCAAACAGATACAGATTGTCCCTGCTTGTCTCCTCTAGCTGTAGCTGGTGCTATACAAGAGCTAGACTGCTAAAAGTGGTTGTAGTTATGATTTTAAAGCATTTTCAGCCAGGGACCTACATGCATTTGCGCCTGGTTGTGGTGTTGTGCAGGGGCTCAGATGTGAGCTGTGCAGGTGGAGCTAGGCAGGTTTTGTGCTTGGCAAAATTTATGCAGCTGAGGGGGATCTTAGGCATACCACGGATGCCTGGCCATGCTTCTCCCACACCCATGAGGAGAGAAGGTAGCACAGCCACCACAAGAGTGACTCTGTTTCCAGGGCATCTCAGCATGAAGGGGTTGACGTGCTGGATGAGCCAGGTCAGGTGCTCTCCATCACTCTGCAGCACAAAGCAAACTACAGCACAGAGGAAAGCAGAGCTCTGGATGCTCAGCAGTGGGGATTTTGTGGTCATGAAGTGAGGAGTCTTCTGTGAGCTTAATGGAAAAAATATGTATATTTAATGAGCTTACAAAAATCTTCTATAGCATATTAAGTTGCACTAGCTGAGAGATGACAGAGTGCTTTATAACTACAAAATATGACTTTGCCTCTCTGAAAGAAGGCAGAGCAAGCAAGCCAAGATGGCCATCTTGTGTTTGGGCATTTGTTTTGGAGAAGTTTTTTCAGTTAATCTGGCCACATAAAGGAAATGTTTTTCCTCAGCTTTTACACCTTTTTAGGTTTTGACTTAAAACCAGCTCCGATATATACCATTGTAACAGAAGTTGTTGGAATCTGTTTCGTCAGAGATTACTGTGTGCTATTCTACATAAGGAATGTAGCCAAAATCCTGCCTCAGCATCCACAAGGAGCAGGACCAGGCTCCTGGGAGCTTCTGGATGTCCTCTCCATGGCTACAAGGTTGCCACTGCTGTGTCCAACATGTCCCTTGCATCTGCCCCTGGTGCAGGGGTGGTGCTTGTGATCCTGACTCAGATTCACACTGGGGTTGGAGGAGCCTCACTGGCACCAGAGCACACAGCCCTGTCCGTGCTGCCAAGGTCCTGCTCTGCACAGCCCTCTCGTTCTGCCAAGCATTGGGAACCCCCAGGCCGCTGCCTGCACCATCTCCTCTGTGCTTTGAGTTTCTGTTCGTGTTAGCTTCACGGTTCCTTTTTCTCTGTTTGGCTTTGCCTTGCTTTCGTTCTTTGCCATGTACCCATCTTATTCTTTTCATTTGTCTTTTCTGTTATTTTAGTTTCCACCCTTCCCATAAGCATGTGCTCTCCCCCCTCTCAGCCTCAGTTTCCTCCTCTCACCTGCAGTAACTGCAGTGCTCCTGCCCCTGGTGCTGTCCCCCCCACACCACCTGATGCCAGCCCCGCCTCTTTGGCACCAGCTGTCCCCGAGCCTGATAGTCAGTCCTCCCTCAGATCCCTCCAGAGAGCCAGAGAGCCCTTGCAGTTCCTGCACAGGCACTCAGCCTGCGAGCTGCCGACAACCCCAAATTCCTCCCCTCCAGCCTGCTCAAACCACAGGACTGTAATGCCAAGTATCAGGCGAACCTCCCTATCGCCACCACCTCCCCATCCTTCCCACTTTCCCTTCGCCTCTCGCCAGCCTCTCAGGCGCTCTTCTCTTTCCTGCTCTCCTTGGTCTTCTGCTTCCTCCACCACAAATGCACCACCTCTGGAGAGGGGTGACATCCTGCAGTCACATGGTCCCACCATCCTGCCTGCGATTCCTATCCCACCTGACAGGGTCAAGGGACCCACAGATAAAGCAGGCCAGGACACCTCTGCAAATGTACCTCTGAATGGCCATCCTGAAGAACACATTGCTTTAGGCCCCTCAGCGACCCAGTTGAAAAGCGTGGATGGGTCCTTCTTACCACAACTAGGAGCTGCACCCTCCTCCTTGCTGCCCACCATCGCCAGCCCCCCCAGCTTCTTTGGCCAGGCTCCCTCACCAGCCTCCCATCCACCGTCTCGTCCTCCACAGCAGTCGTACCAGCCCATGTCACACTGTCTTCCATTGCCTCCCCCTTATGCTGCTGTGTCTGAGGTGACTATGCCCAGGAGGACCCCTCCTTACATGTCTTCATCAGCCATTGCCCACTTGAGTAAGTACTGATCTTTGAATGAGTTACGACCTGTATAAAACCTTAGCCTTCAACTCTTTAGAAAGCCTCACTGGCACTGTCTGTGACTGCTAGAAAAAGGCCTGAGAGACCCAAAGCTACTCCTGCAGTATGTGATTTCTGAAACCGAGGTGGAAAAGTATCAAAATCACTCAGGTCTGAGCTAAAAGCAAGGCAAATAAGCAAGAATTACAGGACCAGGGCCTTGTAGCTGGGTTGTTGAAATGCATATTCTTCCTGTATTAGCCCAGAAGATTTTTACCATTCAGCAGAGTCAAAGTGCATTTGACAGCAAGCTTCACACAAAACCTATTTTCAGCTGGTCCAAATGTAGCAGATTGGCTCTTCTGAAGCTGGAGACCAGGTCTGCAGTAGACTTGTAGTCTGTGTAGCAATATTGGTAGAGGTGATGATTTTTATTCTTTAAGTGGTATCTCTGTTACCAGAAAAAAACTTGGATTTTGTTAGTTACCCAGAACCACCTGTGCTTTATTTCATTCTAGAAACTCTCTTGTGGCTGTAATCTGCATTTATGGTTGAGGGCTTGTCACTGTAACTATTCCAGCACACCTTTTTCCTTGCAGGCAGATGAGGAGCTTGGGTCTGCCACTTTGCTTATGGTCTTGATTTCTAGTGCTTGTCTAAAGCCTGCGGAGTTAGAAGAGTTATGAGTAATGCCTATTTGCAATTCAGAGCCTACGTTTTGTGACTTGGATCCATTCCTGTTTATAACCACATATAATCCTTAAATGATGTGCCTAGAAAATGAAGAAAACCAAGACATTTCCTTCCACTTTCTGCTGAAAATATAGCAACCACTGAAGGCTCAGTCCTTCGGCTGATATAAGTCCTTGAAATCCACTTAGTTCAATAAGGTTATTTTAAACTCGCATCAGTCCATTATTTTGACTCAGTTCAACTTTTTGCCTCGGGCTGGCCTCTAATTAGGTGGGTGTAGTTTTGCAATTACAATTAACCATACCCATAGTGAATTACTTGCTATTATGTTTGTGAACCAAAGAGGGCTTGAAATGTTTAAAGTATTTCTGATAGCAGCTATGGTTCATTTCAGGAGTGGAACTGGGAGTGTGAAATAATGGTAGAAGTAACCACAGAAATAAGGAAGTGTTGTAGGGAATCCTAGATAAGAACAAAACCAAGCTGCTAATGTTAAATACAGTTTCCAAATGCTCCTCAGTCAAAACCCACCTGTCTTTCAAAAAACACTTACTGAACAACTGAACCTGTGATTGCATATCAGGAGCAGCCTGTTCTGAGAGAGTGGGACATGGGGAAATAGCTGTGGGGAGATGTATTTGTTCAACCAACCTGTTACAGGCAGGCAAGACACTGCAGCAGTTACCACAATCAGACCTTCCAGCAGGCTGCTGATGGAGGAGCTTTGCTGAACCTTGGGGTGCCTGGAGCTGGACTCGCCCCTCATTATTCTGCAATACCAACTTAAGCCATGTGCTTTCTGTTCAACAGATATCCGTTGAGATACAGAATGTATGTGTGGCTCATAATTCTGGTGCAAAGATGACATTAGCTGAAGTCCACAGAGTTGGCTGATGTTGTTTATTACCTGTGTGTAGAAAGCTATGAGAGAAGCAGAAGAAGGTGCCACTTGTAAAGTGGAAAGTGTTGTGTGTGTTTTGGTTTCAGCACAGAATACACCACTGGCCCAGCCAGGGAGAAGACTAGTTTATCAGTATCAGGGGCTCACAGGAGGGCACCATCTGTAGCTGATTGACCATTGATGCAGCACCATTTCCCACTCTTCTCCATGCTTGGTGCTTCCTTGTGTTGCTCACATGTCACGCAGTCAGGTCATGGCCTTGGGAGTGGGAGCATGACCTTATGTATGGCCTGGAGGAGATCATGCTTCACATCTAATTAGTATTCTCTGCATTGCAGGCCCAGCACTTCCTCCTGGTCATCCCAGCGCCACTGGTGCGATCCCTGCTTCATCCGGGGGGCCCCCACCTCCGCCACCCCCCCCA